GTTGGTTTCGCTTACCAATCACCAAAGCTCAATACTAGCCATGAACTCCGATACCCCAAAGCACATATCATGCATCAAGATAGCAATTACCGACTAATCAAGTGCAATTTGAGTAGCTTGTTTGTTGTTATACAGAAAGGTCCCATTGTCCTCTACTCAAATGTGGTTTTTCTCTAGACACTAGATGTCAACCACCACCACTACACAAGTTTCCTTCAGAGTTGTCTCCAGAATATCATCGATGGAAAACTAAAAAACGAATGATGGTATCGGGCAGACCTGAATAACTACTACTGGCTTTGAACAGTGGAGAGAGATGACTGTATGTCTTCACTCTGCCTAAAGTATTTTATGAACAGTTTTCAAGACGTCAATAAGCTCTTCAGAAAGCACTTTTAACACATGATTCTGGAGTATACTTCTATCCACCGATGCGAGAAATCCTCTCTTACTAGTCTGAGATTAGTATAACATAGCTAATATATCTGTTAAAGAGTAGGTATGTAGTCAACGCATCTACAATGGTATCGAAATCTTGCTTACTGTGAACGAACCTTTCTTCAGAAGTCTTAAATGTTCCACATGACAATAAGGTGGAGATCAATGATGCAGTAGACCCGATAAACTGATTTTTGAAGTTACTCACTAAAGGTTGGTACAAAATTTACCTTGCTAACACTACACATCCTGTTGGAAAATCACCCAGTCGTTGTTGGCTGCAGCTTCAACACCTATCCGAAATATATTGTAACTGACTGATGGGGAGCATTATACTCGTTTTTATTCACACCTCAGGAGGTTGAAGGGAACTCAAAGGAACCCAGTACGTATCAATGAAGGATTTTCTCAAAGAAATAAAGGGCTATGCCCTATTTTTCATCATGAAAATATTTTCATCCATATTTCAAACCTAACCTTCTTACGGATCCATAGTGAAACTTGAGTCAAGTTTCAATACTAAGCATAAATATTCTCGTCGATATATTCAAGACTACACTATTTTGGACCGTCAAAAAGCAAGATGACAATGATTGACAAAATAAACGTAGAACCTCAAACACAAGTGCACCCGCTCAAGTTTCCGCACTTCACAGTAGTGCAAAAGAATAGGTGGATCGAAAAAGTGATACCAAAGTTGCAGGAAACAATAAATAGTCTGAAGATAAAGGTTAGTGCGAATATCCAACTTTTAGATGTTAAGGAGTGCATACATCTGCGACATTGTCACCAAGTTCTCAATCACTGATTCATATCACCTTGGGGGCCCCGACCAGGCATTCTCCATCGCTCCACACGACTCAGACCAACAGTAGGAGGCTTCATCCACTGGCTCCACGTCTTGATCTGACCATCCTGGACCCTCTTTCAACTTAACCCAACTTCCCACAGCATAGTACATCGAGGTAGCCGATGGATCGGAATGCACAATACATGTCCAAGCCATTTCAGTCGACTAAGGTCCACTACCTCATCAATCGACTTACCTAGTACCCTTCGCCTGACCTCAACATTGCTCACACGGTGATTCCACCAAAAGACACCTGTGATCAAAACCCTGTAACTGCTTCATGTCTTCTGCTTTTAACGGTATTGTCTCAGTCTTATAACAGGATAGAACGGACTGCAGCGCAGTACACTTGTCCTTTGGTAGACAGCCGGATATCTCCCCAACGCCAGAGATGAAGCAAGTTCGCAAATGCCGAACAGGCCTTCTGTATCCGAGCTGAGATTTCGTTAGCAACAAAGCTATTTGGGTTGATGCAACTCCCCAAGTAAGTGAAGTGGTCGACACATTCAACCATTACACTTGCTATCATTAAACTGTAAGTGGTTGCAGGCCGGTCCTGGAGCATCAACTAACATTCGACTGGTGAGAGACTCATGCCAAACATACTCAGATTTCTGCTCAACATATCCAGAAGACCCTGCATTTTGTCAGTATTCGCCCAGGAGGGCAAAGTCGTCTGCATAAACCAAGTAAACTAGGTGACGTCCAAAGAGTGGGTTAATCCCGAGAAGTCAGACTTACCTAAAATTTATATCCACCAGTATGTCTATGACGAATTGAAACAGAAACGGTAACAGTGGACATCACTAGTTGTCTTCAATTCACATGAGAACTCTACATAAGTCCATACACGGCTGCGCGAGTTCCAGTAGAGAGCTCGGTACTCCCTTCACAGTAAGGCACTGCCACAAAACCTCACGGTTGACTGAGCCAAATACCACCTTCAGGTCAAGAAATATGGAGTGTAGGTAGGTATGCCTATGTTCCAGAATCTGCCGGGAGTTGAAAATATGATCGATGTACACTCGTTCACGTCTGCCTAGTTTTCTTGAGCTCCACTTAAGCGTCGGATAACTATGGACCCTAAGATGATGTATACGATATTAATCAAACTAATTCCCCTATGGTTATCACAAGCAAACTTCTCTCCCTTCTTATAGACTGGGATGATCAGTGAAATAGAGCAATCTGACGGCATTACCTCTGATTTTCATACACTACGCAGTACCACCAATTTCCTACTTCCATCCTTAAAAAATTCAAGTGCCAGACTGTTAGGTCTCACTGATTTACATCGTTTCAGGCTCCATACCACTTTCTCAAAGAGAGTTGAAGGACCGACAACTATGTTCCACTCAGATTCAGGCTAGATCTGGGTAACTGAAGCGTTGCTGAGGGCCAGTGTAACTGTGCTTCAAAGTGTTCTTTAATATAGGAGTAAAACTTGGATTCCATTTATCTGTTTATTATTATTATTTCTAATAAACAGATAAATGGATTTCAGTGTTCTGCCCAACGTTCTAGCTACATGTTCTGGGAGGTTGTCAGCATCCCATCCTTTCCAGTGATGGTTTACCTGAGTGTCTTCCTCTTCTTATCGATGTCCTTAATAAGCCTAAATAGTTACAGGGCGTTAACCACCGCTTATGCTTTCTCCATCTCTCTCGCTTTCGCCACCCACTACTGCTCGCAGTCGACGAGAAGACTCTAGGTCAACTTATGTTTAAGTTGCTTTCGCTCTTCATCGAGGTCAGAGTCAGCTGAAATCAGTTTCCTCACATCAATCAGTTCGGATGAGGTTTGTTAACCTTAGGATGTAGGTTACTAACTGCCTTTACCACTGTCTCTACAGCAGATTTAATATCACACTAGATTTCTCAGGACGAGCATTGCTGTCAGATAAATGCTTAGCTATCTCTTCCCTAGAAGCATACTTGACGTTTTCATCTTCTAATCGACCACAGACAGGTTTTACCATTGCCTGTTTCCTGAGACTAGTAAGGTGCAGACATACACAAGTTTGCACTAGTGAGTGTTTTGAGTCCGAACTGGTACTCCAGAAAGAGTGGCATTCCACCGCCGACCATCTCCAACGTTAATTTATAGCAATATGATCTGTGTCGATCGTTGGTTTGATGTCAGCGAACGCTGTATGAAACATTGTCTATCCGTTTGTTCGGAGTTAGTGCTGGCCAGAAATAGGTGATTATCGCAGAAATATTGCGATTACTGTTGTCAGTTCGTTGGGTAGGATTCCATAAATACGCCCAATATGCCTTTTCGATTGGGTCAGCTTCCCTATTTGAGCGATAAAGTCATGTGCCACTATGATTATATCTGAACCTTTTGCTTTCTGTAGCCAAATTGACAGCTTCTCATAGAATTTATCCTTTGCATCATCCGAATTGCAGTTGATGAGTGTATAGGGGGGGGGGGGATTATGAATAGGCGTCGTTTAGTTTCACGATCCTTCCAAGTTCTGAAAAACCTACTCAGTCGAACATATAAACGGCTGTTCACTGGTATCTAGTCGAGAAGCATACTTTCTGCCCTACAAACTCAATACTGCACATACACCAGCGAGTTCACGAGAGCTAGAAACTGGGTTTCTAGATACTCTTAAGGCGAATTTTGAAGATTCACCATGGTCAGGTGAGGTCAGTTTAATAACCACACTCGGGTCCTGTATACGTATCTCAGAGACACAGGATACATCCATGGTTCTTCTAGAGTTCTGGCGAGCAATACTTGCTGTTCGATTTGGCATAGAGTTTGGAGGTTAAAAGCTCATACATGAAATCGATGACGGGGTCTTAGGAGACTAGGAATGAGGTTTCGATGGATTTGATTGCTGACAATGGTTGCAGAGTGGGATGCTGGGTAAGGTGTAAGAGGCTTAATATTAGTGTGACGAAGTGAAGGCAAAGGAGGAGACAGAGTTGAAGAGGATGTTCGATTGTGTCTTGTGTACTGCTGGAAGCGTGTGGGCGGTTGACACTTCCCAGGTTGCTCACACAGTGGAAGGCTATTTCTTCTTAAGGTACCTGAAAGAGGAAAATATTTGTGACCGCAGAGCCCACGGGACATCTACTTCAGGCCTGTCACACGCGGTCTTTTGCGGGATGTTGTTTTCAGGTCTGTTGTTCTATCGCCAAATAGAGAGAACCCATACCGCGGACACCAGAAGCCTGTAGGACAGGTGCAGTGTGTTATTTCTGGGCCGACCTTTTCTAACTCCTTCTTCCCACAGGAAAGGCAGCATCAACGTGACACTGCTGGTCACTCAAGGGAAACATCCTACTGCTGTCACACCCCTCCCAGCTGGTAGCAGTAGTACTTCGCTCTCAGAACCCAATTATAATGTAGTAATTTACATTGCAACAGTAACCGCTTCCAGACGTACCATTATCCAATAGACTTTTCTGGCATGGTAGGGCCTCGAGAAAACAAGCGTTTCACCAGCATAGCTCGTTGGATCATTATGACATGCAAGCCGGACCACCACGTCAAGGTAGCAGCTATCGGTCGGGAAAAGCAAGATGAACTTAGCATTAAACTAGAGCATGATGAGTTTACATAGGTAATCCTGAACGAACGGTGGGATGAAATAGCCGTTTAGTGCCCTCCGGTTCGCAATGGTTCTCTCCAATTGACGTCAATCCACGATGAAAACTATTACCGAATACGATGCAAATTAGGGAACGTTTATGATCTGATTTTTAAAACAATCACTGAAAGTTTTAGTTTAATGATTTACGAAATCTACGCTATCTCAGCATATCGTTCAAGAGTACTTGAGGAAAATAAATAACTAATCGAATGAAGACCCATGAAAGTCTACTATCATAAGAAAAAAAAACAGAATGTAACCAACCTGTCAACAATAGAAAGTAAGTGGATCTCAGGCATCTCTGCTGAACAACCAATCTGTTAGGTAATAAGAAGATAAATGAATTCGTCAACTGACGAGATTTTGCAAACAGGTTTACTGTGAGTCTATGTGTAATTCAGTTATTAGCTTTTACATACTTAACTGACATGCAAATTGGATGACTGTACATGTTTCAAGATATTTCCACATAGGTTAATTATCAAAAATAGTACAATTTAGAACATGATGTAGATTTTTCGATAAAAAAAATAAGCTACTCTTCATAGGAGAGCATTAACATCATGCTCATAAAAAAGGTGAAATCATCAGTAGCGTGTGCAATTTCAGTGGATAATGTGTAAAAAATAGATTATTTGAAAGTTTCATTAATCGTAAATGCAATAATCCCAGTTTTACCATGAATAATACCAGAAGCATCTAGAAGATAGTACACAAATAAAGAAAACAGTATTGGGAATAATAGGAAGAAAAAGTGGATTCAGGATGTTTCTGGCAGTTTCACATCGACTTCTTGAAGATATATGCGTACAGAACAACAAATAAAAGTATAAAATAGCTAAGTGAAGAATCTCAAGTGCAGTAACAAATGATAAATTTGATATTTTGAATCAACACAGCATGCTGTCATCGATTTGAGACTCAAAATTTGCATCAGTCATATCCATCATTTGAAGTAGTCGATCATCGTTATCATCACACATTTTAACTTTTTTCACTAGAACCTTGTCAGTAGAGGATTTATCCTTGTCATTTTGTAGAATCTTCCGAGCTTCTTCAAAATACTGGTTTGGATGATGAATAGTTACTCCGGATAAATCATCTCCACTCAATTTCAACATCCCACGTAATATTCACGACAGCTTAGATGATAAAGTCTTTCTTTTGCTTTCTGTACAATGGTTTCTGCGACATCTGATGAAAGACGACCACCTGAAAGCAGTCGTTGTCGTAGAAGCTCTGGATCCATATGCCGGAAAGGGCAGCCATGATAGTCTCCAGCTGCAGGAGCACTACCCGAAATAATCTAAACCATGAATATAAATAATGAACTTTCTATGTGAAAAAGAAACACAGATACTATCCGAATTTTACAGAAAATGACAAAATGAGGTATAACCACTAATTATTCAATATGCATTGAAAACTTTCACGCATTGAAATAACTTACGTTCAGTGAAACAATCTTAAATTGGTTTTACAGTCTGTGTTTACTGTGATAAAAACTAAAAGCAAAACTTACATCATCTTACAGCAGTAATCTTTGGATGTGGAAATATGCCAAGCTCTTGAAATACTTGATACAATTGATAAACTTAATACGCATGGGAAACCTGAATCAAATGATTAGTGTGGGGGTAAAACTTGAGCACTGCAATAAAACATAGTTCCACAGTAAATTTTTTTAAAATCTGATATAGCACACAGTATTATTTACAAAAAATAATACTGTTAGAAGGGCAACAAAACATGACAGTAGACTCTGTTTGAAAGGTTGTTTTGGATGCGTTTATCACCGCCCAAATGCGAGTTGTTGCTCCAGTACTGGTCTAACAATAGGGAGTTACGTGGCTGAGGACCCCGACCACTTCACTTACTTGAGAAGTGGAATTAG